CCTGGGTGGGCCAGCGCAGGGCCCCTCTGCCTGCCGCCGCCTTGCTCGGCGCGGGTCCCCCCAAGTGCTTTCTTAATGTAATGATCTCAGAAGGGCAATGTGTCAACTGAAAATGAGAAAAAGTTTATACCATTATGGATGCATATTCCTCAATTTTGCAAGAGACATTATAAAAGGTTTAATTTCCTATAGTTCTTAAAGAGTAAAGCTTAAAAACAAGGCTTGAAAAAAGAAGTAGTTTCTACCATCAAGCTGCTGGCACCATCCACGGGTAAGATAGCAAGACACATTATAGCCAGATTGACCAAAACCACAGACAAAAACAAGATACTAAGATTGTCAAGAGAAAAATGGCAAGTTACCTACAAAGGATATCCCATCAAGCTAACAGCAGACCTCTTATCGAGGAAGAAAAAACAAGAACATTCTCAGATAAACAAAACCTAAAAGAATTTACCAGCACCAAACCAGATCTCCAAGAAGTTCTCAAGAGAGTGCTATATCCGAAAAATTAAATACAGACACACAGAAATAAGAGTTCGAAAAACTACAAAAATGGCCAACGTTATCGTAGGGACAAGTCTAGAATTGAATATTATACCCCAGAATTTAATCAGGAAGATTGAACCCCAACAAAAGATAGATTAAGTACATGAGATTGAACTGGTCAAATAGCATTTTATGACTTTTCACTAAAATATTGCTGCTTTTCTTCTAGGCTTTGTTGTCTGGTTTCAAAGGTTTTTGTCCTGTCTTGAGCTGTCAATAGGTTCATGTACCTACTATATGAACAGAATCCTAACTTGTTTCCTGGCTTTAAGTTTCAAGCAAAGTTCCTTACCATTTCAAAACTGCTTTCCTTGAAATTACCAGCTGAACCTGCTATTGAAAGTAGTTAGATTATTTAAGAAATTGTGTGGTTAATAAAATGTGGGGGGAAAAGGAATGGAAGACAACTGTAGACACCAGAGATAGTGTGAGAAGAGGGTGGGAAGGGGCAGAGGGTCAGACATAAGGGTAAATATATAACTAAAAATGGAAATTTATTGATGATGACATGCATGATTAAGCCACTATGCAGTATATTCTGGGTGGGAAATCACATTTTGTATGCTGCGACAATGCTTAGGAGATGAATGTAAATTAATTAATTTTAAAAAGTTTCAGGGGGGAAAAAAACACAAAATCTATTTTCCTTGAAATTAAAAAAATGCATTAAAAATACCTATCTGATGACTGCAGTAAGCTATATAGCCCCAGCTAGGTGCTACTTTATAGTATGTTCATTCTACTCACTGAGGTGTATGCCTAAAGTCAGACTTGTGTTCATGGATATGTATATATCAGCTGTGCTTGTTATTGAAAATATTTAGATTAATTAAAATCTTTTGTGAATTTATAAAATGTGGGGAGAAAAAAAGGCAAGAAAAGCCACTGTAGATACCAGAGACAGTGTGGGAGGAGGGTGAGACACGGCAGAGGATGAGAGAGAGGGAATCAAGGATGGGAAAAAAAGCAAAATATACAGGAAGCAAGAAATGGAAAATTATTTGTCAACGATAACACGTTGATGTGCTTGATTGAGCCAATATACAGTGTATTCTGGATGGAAAATCTCATCGGTACGCTGTAATGATGTACAGTGAATGAATGTAAATAAATAAATTTAAATAAAAAAAAAAGATAGGGCCAGGACCCGTTGGTGTGAGTTTCCCAATAGGAAAGAGAGAGAAAGCTCCTCCTGACTTTAGGTAAATATTTGGCATAACCTAGTCAAGACCCACTTTGCTAAAGCAGCCAAAACCAGGTGTTTCAGAAAAAGGAATCAGGATAGGGGTACCCACAAGAAAGGCCTTGACTCGGATCCTAGCCTGAAATTGCATTTTCAGACTCAGGAGAAGGATGCCCTCCTGAATGATTCTCTTTGCTGTTGCCATGCCAGAATTCTTCTGGTCCACATCCATGTTTAATTGATTGGTCACATTTGATCTGAGGCCACGAAATCCACTAGCTGATTATACCCTTTCAGGATGGTTTCTTGTGGAAGCTCCAGTCTGGTGAGACACAGCATGGGATGTTGCCTTGTGGTTTTTATTCTCCTTATAGTTCTACATTTCTCTCACTCAAAACAAGTCTTCTATGCCCTTCCCAGTCTCCCTTACAATTCTTCTTTGGCTTCCTCTTGTTTTTAAAATAACTTCCCATTTGTCACCTGGAGATTTCATTACGTGGGATTGTTTATCCCCAAAATCATAAGACCGAGAGACTTAACCAGACCTGACCACTTTCCCCTTCTAGGGTGCACTCGAGACACGCTAATTGTTTCCTCAGCTACCGTAGTATTTGTTGTGCATGTGACACTGCACCTTTGGTATTTGCCTAATAAACGTTGACAACAGATATTCCCAACTGCTTAGTTTCCTCGGGACACTATCCAGGTGATTGCAGGAAACCAGGGGAAATCTTTGGGGCCCTTTTTATTTAGTAGAAATAGAAATGCTTTTACACTAAAAATGGACATGTTAAAAGAAAGTGCTCTCCTCCCCCAGTCTTGCTTGCTAAGCTGCCTTCAAGAGCCTTCACGTGCTCTCGGCCCATTTGCAGTCTCCTACCAGGTCTAATTCGGGAGGATTCTTTCTGCCCTTTCCCCTGGAGCCCTGCACTTGACTCACTTGCTGCCCAGCTGCAGTATGCAGAGTTCTAGCAGCAGGAAGCAGTGGACCTGTTAGAAAGTAGTGGCAAGATCAGCAGATGGTGTAATGGTTATGTCGCTGGGCTCCTACGTAATTGACCATGGTTTGAGTCCTGGACATGGCAACTTAAAACTCAACGCCGGGCACCTATGTGTGTGTGTGTGTCTGTGTGTGCCCAAAATCCCCAGAGGGGAATGGAGAAGGAATTGTGGCGTGGCCATCTTCCCTGAGGGAAAGGTAATTTTCTTGCTTTCTTTGTCTCTGTTTCTTCAGCAAGCACATGCATCCTATAGCAAAAATCTCTCTAAACAAATAATAAAGAAAGAGGTAAGGAGGGAGAAAGAAAATCAATGTGTAGAGGCCCAAGGACCACACCAAACAAGGAGCCTGGTCACAGTCAGAAATGTTTAGAAACTTTTGCTGTGGCCTGAACGTTTGTATCCCCACCCCCCAATTCATACGTTGAAACCTAATCCCCAGTACAGTGATATTATGATGTGGGGCCTTTGGGAGGTGTTTGGGCCATGTGACTAGAGCCCTCATGAATCGAATTCACATCTTTATAAAGAGGCCCAAGGAGCTCGTGGGGCCCTTTCCCATGTGAGAATAAAAGGAAATAGAAGTTGCCTTCCAGATACCTCATCTGCTGGCACCTTGATCTTGGATGTCCCAGCCTCCAGAACAGCACATAGTTGTTGTTATAAATTATCCATCTAAGGTATTTTGTTACAGCAGTCTGAACTATGACAACCTCTGTTGCAGGAACTTGGGCCCAGTGTGAGAGTTGGCTGGTGTAGACATTTGTAGGTGATAGTGAGGAGAGAACAGGGCAGTGACAAGGAAAGGCGAATGCTTGAATGAGTGCCAAAGACAGGCTCAGCCTCTTCAAGGTTCTGATACACTCCCACACACAGACACCACAGCATACCACACTCTGCACTGAATATTCCTAACACCTCTCTCCTAAACCTCTAGAAATTCTCCAGTTACTGTCTACGGCACAAATGCCAGGGACTCTACCTTGATCTGAGAGATCTTCTTGGAAGACATCCAGGTGGATGTCCGCAAGGAGATCAAGAACAACCAAAGACCTCTGTTTCATTCTTGGACTAGGGGTAAACAGTGAGTAAAAGGGTAATTCACCCACTTGTTGTTTGCTGGCCTTCCTTTCAGAGTTTCTGCTTTGGAGTCTTCAGATGAATAAAAATGCCATACATGAACGGAGTGCTGTGTTAAGTTAGATGGTAACCTGTTCACACTTCAAACATAATAGAACTTGAAGCTTTATGTTCTCAGCCAGTCACATTGTGTTCAAACATTGCAACAGTTTTTTTCCTAAGAAAGGGTCTAGTTAAACCACATTCAGCTTTCAGTTCTCTCTAACTGGGCAGCGTGTGTGGTTCCTTTGCTCTGTCTCGATCTCAGGCAATATCTTAGGAAGGCTGTAGCTGGACCGCTGAGCTAAAGCACGAGTCTTTTCTAAATATCCTCATGTGGGTACATTTGACATTTTCTCCCATTTCTTGCCAACATACCAACCCTAGAGAGAGTGTGAGAATGAGGTTGAGAGTGCTAGGGGAGAGGAGAGCTGAAAAGGACTCAGACTTGAGACACTTAGAAGCAGATTTGTGACAAGTGGCAACAGCCCTCTGGGCATCCTTAGCTGCTAGACCTGCCCAGACTCCCTGTGGGATGTGGGATGCCAAGTGGACCCAACCCTCTCCAGCCTTCCTCCCCTCCCTCCTATGGGCCAAAGAGGCAGCCTTGAGTCTGTTCTTTGAGCTTATTCCTGCTTTCCTTTCCCCTCCCTTCAACCCCACGATGCCTTCCTAACATTTACCTGTACTAGATGGTGTTCAGCTCATCTTACCCTGGAAGCCTCTCTCAAGCTTCTTCCATTGCCCTCTGAAAATTGGATTTTGGTAACGATTTACCTGAATGTTCCTGTACCCTGGAGCTTATCTAATTGTCAGTACTCCAACCTGGCAGGCATCAAAAACGGTGCTGGGATGCCAATATTGTTCTAGTTCTTGATCTAGTTAGTAACTTCATCGGTGTGTTCACTTTGTGAAAATCCATTGAGTTGCATACTTAAGATCAGTGTGCTTTTCTATTCATGTTATATTTTAACAAAAAAGTTTCAAATCTTTCTATCCCTGCTAGTCTATTTCCTAAAGACTCTCTATGTGCTCTATAATTCATAGGAAACTGCCCGGCACTTAAAGTGTGACCAAAAGTGTTGCTTCAAATGTTAGTGAACCTGATCAGAGAGAGAGAGCAAGACCCAGTAAAACAAAATAAAACAAACGAGCAAACAAAAGCTCCTGACTTCTAGTCCCAGCTCTATTGCCATCTGTCTGAAGTCGCTTAGGCAAGTTACTTGGCCTCTCTGGACTCAGTCTCTGCAACTATAAAGTGGACTCCATTGCACTTTCCTTCTTGACCTCTGAATGACTTTTCTAGGAATTAATTAGATGAGGCTTCCAAATAAAAAACATACAGAAAAACAGGGAGCATAGGACGAACCTGAGGCAGGTTTAATCAGGAGCCACCTCCTTACATCCACGTCCCTTGGTCTGGGTTGGATTGCAGGAAGCCTGGGCACAGGGGAGACCTTTGTTCCCCTCTGAATTTAGTAGAACTAGAAATGCTTTTACATTATAAAGGCACATTTAAAAAGATGTTCCTTTCTCCTCCAGCCTGGCTCCTTAAGTTGCTTCGGAGAGCCTTTGCGTGCTCTTTCTGGGCCCTTTGCCGTCTCCTACCAGGTCTAACTCAGGAGGGTCCTTCCTGACCTTGCCCCTGGAGTCCTACGCTGGACTTGCTGCCACCTGCCACCTGCAGGATGCCAAGTCCTAGCAGCAGGAAGCTGAAGACCTGTTAGAAAGTAGTGAGGGAGGAGGAAGAAAGTGGGGTACATGTAGAGGATCAAGGACCACACAAAAGAGGCCTGATCATACCTGCCCTGGGCTGACGCATAAAGGAGGGACTGAAAGTTATTGAACTTCTCACTCAGAAGTTGGTTAGTCAATAAAATTACAAAGTAGGGCCAGCAGGTGGCATGGTAGTTAAGGGTACTGGACTCCCACACGGCCAACAGCAGTTCGAGTCCTAGACCTGACGGCTAGCTTTCTCACTTTCCTTCTCTCTCTCTCTCCCTCTCCCTCTCCCTCTCCCGCTCCCGATCCCGCTCCCTTTCCCTCTCCCTCTCCCTTTCCCTTTCCCTCTCTCTTTCCCATTCTGTCCCTCTCTGGTCAAATAAAATAAAATAAAATAAAATAAATAGACAAATAAATAAAATTACAAAATGAAATGGCCTTCCTGTCCTTGATAAGTGATTTAGAGCTTCCACTAGAGCTGGAAAGCTAACCTAAGAGCTAGATGGGACAGAAAGTTCAGGGTACCAACTTCGGGGCAGCTAGATCCCAATTTGAGCTTTAGCTCTGCAGCTTCTGAGCTGTGTAACTTTGACCTCTCTAAACATCAGTTTTTTCCACCTGAAAATGTGCTAGTAGCTATCTGATGAATGCTTCGTTAAATTAAATGAGAGAACACATGGACAGCACTTTGCACTGTGCCTGGCACATGTTAAGTGCTCAGTACATGTTAGTAATCTTCATTATTATTGTTAAAATGTATGGGAAGTTGGGGCCAGCAAGTGAAATGGTGATTAAGGCACTGAATTCCCACAAGGCCAATCATGGCTCAAGTCCTGGACCCAGCGACTTGAAAATCACAATAAATACAGAGATAAATAAGTAAATGTTATTATTATTTTTTTAATTTATGGGAAGCCATCGACATGGACTTAGTTTCTGCACTAGGCTCCCATAGGCTAATCCAAAGTGGAGTCACACATGCTAAGGTTCTATGTTACCAAACCAAAAACTAAGCTGTGTACTTATAAGATCTGACCTAGGAAACCGGAAGCGTCAAATCCACAAACAAGCATTGGAGTCTAGAAAACAATACTCCCCAAGGCCTGGCATTTTCACATGCTGACCACAACGAATAGCCATGGAGCCAAAGTCTGTCTCTCACATTTCCTCCTACCCCTGTCTCTTGATCTTCTTTGATCCTCTTTCTCTCCCAAAATGCAGGGAAGGACTTTCTCTGATATTCCATTACCAGCCTGTAGACCAGACTTGCCAAAGAAGAAGACAATTCTATTCGGTTCTTTCCCTGAAGTTTCATTAACTAAACTTGCATCATAGGGAGGGAGATTGGGTAAGTCAACACACCTGGACTGATTTTTGTTGTGGTGGTTGTTG